AATTTTACTGCATGTCAAATATTTAATTCTGCAATTACACTGAGATTGGAGATGTCCAGATCAAAGCAACTGTAATGTAATAGATAAGAAAGATAGCAGGCTGATTACGAAAGATCAGGCATGAACTATTAATTTATTTACCTTTGTAATTCCATCTAAGCTAAAAAATTGCATTACTGAAAAGAAATTCACTTGCACAGCAGGAAAGCTCTTCAACCTAACATCTAAACTTTTTTCAAATGCTCAAAGCAATCTTTGCTAAGCTATAATTATTTCCTAAGTCTCTGAAAATGTTCTACTTTACAGGGTTTAAGTGACTGGTAAATCAACATCCCACACACCACTTAAACCAAGCTGACACTTGTTGCAAAATTTTTTGTCCATAAGTTAAAAATCAAACACATTCTCACAAGCTGAGTTTTTCCACAGGAGTTAATAGTACTGTGAGAATCCTTCTCATTTATTCTGTTAAAGGATTAAAATAACTTCATATGCATTACCTCTCTTGCCAAATTGTGTCCGCAATTACTTCCATTAACAAATTTACAACATAGTGTACATTTTCCCAAATGATTGAAGAGTTCAAGAAAAAAGAAAAATCATTGATCTCAGTAATTCTTCAAAACCAAGTACACTGAAAGCCCGATTTAGATCTACAACAGTAACCTGCCGGATAACCAAAACGCAACAACACCCAATACTTAAAGAGGGCATTTTCCTTTTCTACCATCACTACATTGTTTAGTTCAATATCCGTATAGAGGAAAAAAAGTGATAAACTGTTGCATACCTGTGGAACTTTTGTAGAACTGTCTCTATTCGCACTGCTAAGAATAGCTTCGTGTGTGGCCTGCCTTTACCTTCCAAGAAGGCTATGTCTTGCAACAGTTTCATTTTTCAGATTTTAATAATGCAGCAAAAGTAATACAGAAAGAGGCGGCTTCTTATTGCACGTAAGTAAAAAAAAAGAAAAAAAAAGCACAGATTAAGAAGTGACATAAAATGTTTATGTGCACCACGTCTCCTTGTTACATGTTAGCACACAATTTGATTACATATTTCTCAAAACTTTCAGTTGCATGATACTGTCTTGTATTTTTGCACTGCATATTTTGTTCACTGGTTGAACAAAAAGGAATATAAGAACTAGAATATTGGAGATGTCAGTTAAGATTCTGTTGGATAACATCATAAGATGAAGTACAAGCATTTGAAAAAAAAAAAAAAAAAAGAACCAAACAAAAAAAAAACCCTACTGTAAAGTACTTTGTACATAGGGAACTCTTTGTCCTTGTAGCTATTCCAGAGAAAGAGATTTATAGTGGAGTCACTCTCAGAAATATAATATACTTAGCAACTGCAGAGCAAGAGCACCACTCAGTGGAACTATCAGATAAAACAATACTGGTAAAGTCAAAGTTATATATTCATAGCACAGCAGTAATAACAGTTCCAGGTAATTCTACTAAGACAAAAATCTTCCTCGGAAAAAAATTTAGGTAAGAAAGCTGCTAGCTTTAGTTTATAACACAGAAACTATAATTTAAAATCCTATGCTTAATAGTGATTATTTGCTGGCTCACCTTCCCACATACAATTACTAAGTTTTCATTACTATCATATTTCTTTTCCAAAACTACAAATTATAATTCCAAAAAGGAAGATGTATGGCCATAAACAAAACCTTTTAAAAAAATACCAGGTTCCAAATTTTAATTTAATTCACAAATATTTATGTATAGTTACATAATGTGGAAAACAATTGCACAACCAGGCGCTGACACACTCATGACAGTTTTTTCTTATGCATAATAACAAGCATTGAAGTTCCTTTCTCTCCTCATTAAAAGATAGAAAAGATGTATACAAGCTGTTGACAGCTAACTATGCTAGCTGTGGAACTTCAGATATTGGAAAGCCAGAAATTTTGTTAACAATGCATTTTTTACTCCTTTGTATATACTGTGAAGCTTGCCACCATGAATTCAGATTGCAGATACAGTGACTTGCCCTAATAGCCCCTTTTTTGTGTTAACATGTACCTAGATCTCTGACAAAAGAGGGAGAGGTGGATAAAGTAGCCATGGATAAAGGTGGATACAGGACCCATGTTCAGGAATCCTAGCAGGCTGCATCTGTCACTAGCTTGTTTCAGATTGGTCATCCGGATACATGGTTTTTCAGTATCACTACTACAAAAGCGCCGATTTAATTCCACCATTTAGTCTTTGGAATCACAAGCATCTCCAGAATAACCACCATTTTTCTCTCTATGGGTAAAAACACTGAAGCCTGTTTGCATCAGATCTCAAAGTGTTATGTAGTCTCACCAACTCATATTCACAAATTAAATCTACACAGCTGCTGAGTGCAGCTGCCCAGGGGGGACGCGGCAACATTTGCTTTATGGTAAGAGGTCATTAACAATTGCCACCAACAATTCTAGGACACACTGGCAGGAGCCTCTCTTGCTACTGAAGAAGATAAGAACTGAATGTTGTACCTTAACCCTGCTTTTACCCAACTAAAAACTGAGTTCAGTTTCACTGCTTTTCCTACATTTCTGCTGAGATTTTCCCCGATACCAAATCCTACTTTAAACTTCAGCTTCATGTTGTTATTTGGAAACCCTAGGACAGGCCATCAACAAGCTATGTGACAGAAGCAGAATAGCAACCAAAACATCATCGATAGGATGAACTCAAGATAATTTCTTCCTAAATTTAGCCTGCTAAAATTGACATAATTAATAGTAAGCGACAATATATATTGACGGCCTAACTTTGATTCCACACCTCTTGTGACAGCAGTGACTAGGGACACTGAATGAAGAATACACTCAGACACAAGGTAAAAGAACCTTGATTTGTTCTGACACTGCCTGCAAAACGAGCAAGGGACACTGAGTTATCCACTATTTCAGCAATTTAATGTGAGGGAAATGAGAAAGGAATAGTGAACAAATAAGTAAAAAATACAAGAGAAAGGAAGCAGCAGAGATGAGATTTTTTTTTCTTTAAATAAAGCCAGCTAATATTGAAGTAAAAAGATATTTTTTCTACTAACTGGAAAAGAACTAAGAATATATTCCCTTACAAAGCTGAATGCATTATATTCCAAAATGGAAAAGTAATACAAATACAGGTTTCTAAACCTAAATGAAAGTTAAACCTCTACTCTTCACAATTATTTCCTACTTTCAAAGGGAGAGTTTAACACATTTCATAAGGTTTATGAGCTAGACATCAGCAACATGCCTTTAAAATGCCAGCTACATTTCCAGCTGCATAAAATGCCAGCAGAGGATACAAGCTATCCCTACTTCCACATATGGCATGTATAAATGACTTTTAATTTTCCTTTTCTCAAGAAAATGTTACAATACAAAGAAGAATGTTTGAATGTTTTGATTTTCACTATTTACCGGCTGAAACAGGAAAGCTTTTTAAAATGAGTAATTAGGGAGTCTTGTAGTAAGGCCTGTGGCAAGTGCAGCCAAAGTGTTTCCAAGGGCACTGGGTCTGGCTGCTAATGTTTTCATAGCAGCCTGTACGGCATTGTGGTTCAGATCCACGCCTAAAAAAGTGCTGATGCCACACCAGTATTTTATCTACTGCTGCAGTGTTTGCACAGCATCAAGGCCTTCTCTGTCACTCTGCCTCCCCAGTAAATAGGCTGGGGTGTGCAAGACACTGGCAGAGGACACAGCCAGGACATCACTTTGTTTTGTTTTGCTTTGAAGAGCTACGATAAATGCACTGGCCTCAAGCTTAATCTGGTATTTGGGCCCTGCATTACTGCAGTCCCTTCAGGGGTGTACCTGTTCCAGTGCAGCCTTATCCACGGGCCACAGCTCCTGTCACAAAACACAGAACTGCACGGGTGTGGGGTCTTCCACAGGCTACAGCATGGCACCACATGCTGACCACCATCTTTAGAGTGAGAGTCTACAGCAGATGGAACTGAGTCACAGAGAACAACTTCACTTTGGATTGTAGTAAAGTTTCTGTGCATCTTAGCTAGACGTGCCAATCAAAAAATGTACACTTGCAATAATAATTATTAAAAAGGTGTAAAGTGATCAGAGAGAAAGTTATCCAGTCAGGGTTCATTTGAATCTTTACCTTACTACAAAAATTATTTCATAGCATAAAATGCTGGGCAAATTGAAGACCGTGAAGAGAGATTCTCTAAGAACACAGCTAGTACTGTCATATCTGGTTAAACATTTGAGGAGTTGTCTCAGAAACTAAAATTCCAGTAAATCGTAAATCCCAGTATGTTTCTCCTTTAACCCAGTCATGCATCAATGAACACATAAATGATCTTCATAAAACTGTACTTAAAAATACACTTTTGCTAAACTTCTAATTTATAATTTGGGTCCTACTATAGTCAGCGCAACATTTCATACAAATAAATAGGCCAACAACTAAAGTTTGTGAAGTTTAGTCTTTTACCAGGGGTACCTCAAATGTTTTCTCATGATCCTTTCTCACAAGGATTTCTGCACACTCACAGCAAAATCTTCAATGCCAGTTCACTGCAGTATTGGGCCTGGTGCTGACACACACAATGTCCATACTTCTGGGACAAAGGAGTAACACTCACAGTTCACAGGCTATAAAGTTCTCATGGGAATGGATCCCACTGTCCCTTGATGGAAAGTTGTCCCTGCTTCTACCTAACAGACAGCAAACCCATAACGAAAATATCTGCAGATGCCGGTCCTGCCAATATCACAGCAAGATTCACGACCTTATTTTTCCAGGGTTCTGCTTTTCTAAACTGGAAATATATCCACATCTGGCATAACAGAAAACCCTGAATAAACAATGAGGACTGCATTTAACAATAAAAAAAAGCAAATGCACAACACATTCATACACTATCTTCTAATTACGCTAAATTTCTACCACACAGATTGGTTCTTTGGGAAACATTAAAATGTTCAGCACTTAAACGCTACAGAATCTGCTCCGGTCACCATAATGCATTACCTGGTAAATTAGTCTTCATAATATCAATGCCAACTTGAAGTTCAGGCTCAGCTGCAAGAACTGCATAATCTCCTTGATGAGAGACATTGAAGTTGTAATTTGAATAGATACTGAACACGTTATTTGCTAGGAAAGGTTTTCCTTTTGATGTCCTTTCCAAGTGTATTTCATTCCAAGGTATGCACAACTTTTCTGCAATTAATTTCCGTATCAGCAGGCGACCAGCCTATGAAATAAAATGGAAGTGATTCATACAGAACGACTATGCTATGTGCAAAACATCTGTGGTTGCTAGAAAACCACCTGCCTAAAAAAATGTGCTTTTGTTATTGCCAGTAGAAAGTAAGAGTGGATTTTAGCCAAACCATTTAGATTTCTCCCTTTTATAAAAGCCTGTGTCAAGTAAATTTAACCAAGAGTTCACCAGACCCGAGTATGTAATACAATTGTTATCACTATTAGCACAAAGAGAACACAAGACCCAGTAAGAAGCAGTCCCAGCCTAGAACAATCACATAAAATTTTTCCTCCTCTACCTTATTTACTTACTTAGGATACTTTATTGCAGAGATGAATAATTTTTATACCACATTGAACAGCAAAAACTGGCTCAACGGCTTTCCTTTCAGTACTTTCCTTCTGTTACTTAGGTGTTAAATGAAACACTGAAGAGCTAAAAATGATGAGTAACTTCTTATAGACTAACTAGCTGAGGCCTGTATTACTACCACGTTGTTATGTGAGGTTTAAAACCTGAATTACATAAACCAGCTTTATTTTCTTACACATTACACTACTGTCTTCATTTATAGTCTTGAGTACATTGATTTTGTGTCCTAACTTGACATCCCGACATAAAACTTGAGAAGTCTTTCACAACAACTACAAACAGCAGAGTTCAAACATCGCTTTTTCCTCCTAAATGAAGGTGTAAGTAGAGCTGGCAATTAATGCTTTCTAATGTATTTACTTCCCTGAAACGCCCTTGCAGGACCTATTTTCCTACAAGGAGTCACAAATGTGGGCCATGCCGAATCTACAGCGAGACGACCGCGTCCCCACGGGAAAGGGCCGGTCCGGGGCCCACGAGTGGGGCCAGCGGGGGCTCCTCAG